GGTTCATGCATCTTCATAATACTGATGGCCCATCTATGGAATGGATGGCTCAGATCTCTCACCCCACAAGTCACCCTTGATCGACGGTCTATGTTCAATCGCACAAGAAGATACAAGCTAAGGAAAACCCTAATCTTATTCAAAGCCTACAAAAATGAATTGTCTCTACCCAAAAATCTCTACACCTTATCTCTTGTACCTAATTCCCATCTTTCTCTTTCATATCCGAAAAAAGGGGCACGCACCACTCTCTCATGTTTGATCTCTCTCTCTCAGATTGTGAAAGAACCTAAGGGTTTAGGTTTTGAAGTTCTTCTCTCCTATCTCTCAAATATGGATTTACGGTTAAGGGTTTAGGGTTTAGCAAATTGAGAATCCATCTCTCTCAAACTAGGTTGCTAAGAGACTTTACCTAAGGTTTGAGTTTATGATCAAAGGGGTTCATGTTCTATTGGTATGGCTTGGCCGAAATTTGCTTTCCCAGTTCGAGATTGAAGGTAGACCGTTGATCTCATGCCATCGAATGGGGGTGACTCGGTGTGGGGTATAATAAACCCGGTTGAGGTAATATCTGACACTCTTCCTTATTGTTTCTTGCAATCTTATCTTTTACTCTCAAGCATAGTGCATAGTTGTTTCAATGGCATCAAGTTGTTAAGATTTCCCGGTAAAAGACCACATAGGCCTTTATTTCATTAATAACAAAAAAAAAAATGGATTCAAACCTTAAAACTTCTCCAACTTAAGCAACATGAATCAATCATCCATTTCATAAGGTGGCAGATAGATTGGATTTAGAGATTATTGGATGTTTCAAAACCGATTTTGTGTTAAGGAGAATGATTTGCAGATGTTATGTAATGATCCTCTTCTAGGAGAGAAATGGAGTATCTTTTTTTAGCTAGCTGAGCTAGCCAAATATGAAGGGCCCTAAGCACAAATTTTAGGTGGTTTCAGATAATAATAATCTACGTCAAATTTACAAAGGAAGGCAAGTAGGATTTTGGAAATCACCTTTGCCAAGTTACTCAGTCTTTCGCCAAGATGAGTAACTTGACCGAGTTATGTAAACCATAGTAAAATATAGAAAATTTAAAAGAAAGTAAAAAAAATTATACAAATTACTCAAAAATCAAACAAAGTTAGAAGAAAACACTAGAAGATCAAAGAAGATAAAAGAAATATATAAAAGGTCGATCATGAAAAATTTTGATTTATAGCTTAAATATTTAAAAAAAAAAATTAAAAAGAAAGAAAAAATATGAAAGTTTCCAAATAATCTTGTAAACTATTAAAATCATTTAAAAATATAAGAAAATATATAAAGAGACCATTTACTTTTGGTGCAAGGTGGTCACAATTAATCGTGACCATTGGATGTGAAATAGATGGCTGCATTTATATCATTGACCAAGCTCAAAGTTCAAAAAAAATGTTTTCGAATTTTGTGACACATCAAAATATCGGATTTCACATCAGATGATTATAAGTAATTGTGATCTCTTTGTACCAAAGATAAATGGTCTAATTATATACAATCCCGAAAAATATTTCTAACCAATATATTGGTGATTTTTATTTTTGGGTAACTACAAAAAAAATATGCCTTTTTTCCATGAATTCAATAAATATTTAATTTTTTCTAAAACTACATTAATTCTCTCTCTCCCTCTCTAACAAGACTGAATCCCTCACCTCCTCATGGCCACTTCCTAGAAATCTAAAGAGTGTCATGCTGTCTTGAGACACATCACCATACTGTTAGTGTGTGATGATGCATCACAACGCTAATAACATCGTGATGGTCAAGTACCATCATGGTGCATTGAAATGCATCAAATGACTGGTAATGCCGTGATGGTTCTGAAACCAGCATCATTGGTGCTTTGAGAAGTTTAGTAATGTGGTCATGAATGTATCATTGTTCTAACAGTGTCGTGATGCTCAAAGCACCTCCCTGGTGCTTTCTAAAAATCAAGGAAGTATTATGATGGTTTGGGGGAGAGAGAGAGGGAGACAGAGATGCGGTCTTGTTAAAGGACGAGAGAGAGTGAGTGTGTAAGCTATACAATAATCTAGGCTATCGCAGTTGATCTTTTTTTTCTTTTTTTTTTTTGACAAGAATAAAAGCTGATCTTTTTCATGGTAGCCATACTATAATCTAGGCTTTTTGAATTTAGAAGGGATTCGCCATGATCCAATGAGCCAAGGTCAAAAGCGTGATCCTTGGCCAACAATAGTGAGAGGTAAGATAGGGTTTCTAATCCTACGGCTTCTCTTAGAGTCGCAATGGGCGGGGCCGGCCTTAGCCCAACCCCCGCTCTTATCCCCATAGGCCAAGCCCTGCCATAACATGACCAGAGCTAAGGCAGGGTAAGGCCAGGTCCCACAAAAAAAAAAAAACTACAATAAAAAGGATGAGGACCGGGCTAGGCCGACACACGCCCTAGCCGAGCCCTTTGGGCACAATTTGTGGCCCATGCCCTACTTTTTCTTAGGGTCTAGGCGGCCAATTCATTGGTAGCCTTTCAATTTTCTACTCGAAAAAAATACTTAAAAATAATCTAGGCTATCTCAGTTGAACTTTTTTTTCTTTTTTTTTTTGACAAAAATAAAAGCTGATCTTTTTCATGGTAGCCATACTATAATCTAGGCTTTTTGAATTTAGAAGGGATTCGCCATGATCCAATGAGCCAAGGTCAAAAGCGTGATCCTTGGCCAACAATAGTGAGAGGTAAGATAGGGTTTCTAATCCTACGGCTTCTCTTAGAGTCGCAATGGGCGGGGCCGGCCTTAGCCCAACCCCCGCTCTTATCCCCATAGGCCAAGCCCGGCCATAACATGATCAAAGCTAAGGCAGGGTAGGGCCAGGTCCCACAAAAAAAAAAAAAATAATAATTAAAAGGATGAAGACCGGGCTAGGCCGACACACGCCCTAGCCGAGCCTGCCCTACTTTTTCTTAGGGTCTGGGTGGCCAACTCATTGGTAGCCTTTCAATTTTCTACTCGAAAAAAGTACTTAAAAATCCATGTATTTGACAGGTGAGATGATGATGTTTGAAAACACCAAAATCTCCCATTATTACTGTGAGATATTTGTCCTTGGAAACACAAATATCTTGCAAAAACTTACCATTTAGGATATTGATATTCAAAAACACCAATATCTCAAAATATTTCTCAGTAAGAGATTGATGTAAACACCTATATCGCACATCATAATCTACCGAGTAAGGTATCGATGCACACAAATGACAAAAATAAGATGTTTAAAGTGAGAAATTGATTTTTCAAATACCAATATCTCATATAAGTGACATTCCTAAAAGCTACTTCGGTTTAGTTGCAGGGCCAAAATTGAAAACCACGGCTCCAACAATTTATAACTCATTATTGACCCATGGGAAATGTAACGACATGTAACGACGTGCATATTTTACAATTGGGTGAAGTTTCTATGATGCCTAGGCTTTATAAAACCAAAATAAAGCCTCACCTCAAATCCTCCTCCTTTCGGTCCTTTCCGCAGCAATAGAAATCTTCATGATAACTCTAAAATCAATTTCCAACACAAGCAATAAAATTTAAAACTAAAAAACTATAAATCTTGAATGTCTTTGAACACTTATTTTTAAGGCAAAATAGACGGTCTAGATAATATGTTACAATATACACGGTTTTTTAGAGCTTCAAACTAGATAATTTGTTACTTATTTTGCAACCCTATCAAACCATTTTCCTTCACAATTTTCTTTCTCGTTCATACAAAAACTATTTCGGGTATACCAGGAGTCCCATATTGATGGATGGGAAATTTCAAAATTTGGCCATTTTCAATTATTCAAAATTACAGTAATCTTTCAAATAACCACATATGTGAACTTGTGAACTAGGTATTTTCCAAGACCAATATATCAGTCTAAACAACCTATGAGATATTAGTATTCCTAAATAACAATATCTCAAATATGACTCGGTGAGATCCTAATATTGAATAATATCGATTTCTCATAGGGTACTTGGAGTGCGATATAGCACCATTTCTTGTGAAAACTCAACATTTAATGAGATATAGGTACTAAAAACAAAACCAAATATTTTACAAGGTGAATTGGTGAGTTATTGGTGTTTTAGAATATTAATATAATTAAAATGAGATATGGGTACTAAAAAATACTACATATGTAGTGTACCTAAATAGTACTTCCACTTTGATAGACAGGCAACTTCCAAGCAGTTCCTAATTTATTCCATTCTAGCATTGTCTTTTGTGCAAAATTAGGATAGCAAGAATAGTGAAATGTTGAATAGGATAGCAATCTAAGTAAAACACACCTTTAAATAGTGTCAAGAAATATGATTTCAATACTAGAAATCATTGTGATAGCCTTAAAATATATTGTCATCTTTAATTATAAAATTTAAAGCAAATCTATAAAAACTTCAAAATTTATTGTCCAATTATACATGGAAACTTGAAATCTATTTTTTTCTCACGTTCATATATCTTGATGTCAAGATGATCAATTAAATAATATTTGGATATCAACATCTCCTAGTGAAGTTTTTGAGGTGGGCTCTAATTCGATTGTTTAGAGCCTCAGGCTTTATATAAATATTTTCCCTCTTACAAATTTTTTAAAAAATATCACTAAAAATGGTCAAACCACTTAAAAATCATTAAGGATGTCAAATCAAGCAATTTTTTTTTTTTGGCTAATTCAGTGGGGGCGACAGGCCCTAACGTTGTTTCAATGGAGTGGGAGTTGCATTTTTTCAATAAATTGGGGCGATGTACATTTTGAAGGTGTTTCCCTAACTTTTCCAACTTTTTAGCAACAATAGAAAGAAAGAAGCAATTGATTTTTTACATGCTTACCAAAACAACCGCACCTATAAAATGCAGCAACTCCAATAATTTTTTATTTTTTATTTTTTCTTTTCAAAATCTTCTCCTCCCCCTCTTACTCATGTATACAAACAAGGAAGAAGAGTACTACTGTGAATCCATTTTTCTACATAAAATTGCCCGCAAGCAAGAGAGAGAAACTGTAGAGAGAGAGAGCAGAGAGAATTTGTAGAGAAAGAGAGAGAGCGCCTCTTCAATGGCAGCACAAAAACCCACGCCATGAGAGGCTCATAGCAATAATGGAGAATGAAAGACAACAATCCAAAAATTTATATACCCCAACAAAGAGCAAACCATAAGGAAAGAATGATGGGAGAGATATAGTAAAAGAAAGCATGGGGTTTGTTGGTTGTTGTAATTAGGGAGACCATTTTGATGAGAACATCTGATCCAGGAGCAACACCAGGGCCATGGCAAAAGCAGAATCGAGTTCAGGCTCGACAAGAAGCTTAAACACATCACCTCTGTAACTCACACCACCCGAATTCTCCTTCCTTTTGATCTCGGCAACCACCCGATGAGCCTCGTTGTGGATCTCACATATGCGTCGCGAGTACGAGCCTTCGACCTGGTAAGCCCAGCGCTTGGTGTCGCATCCCCTGTAGACGTGGGCTAAGACCTTGGATTGGAGGAGGCTCGAATGCTTTCTCATACTGAATATGGGAGGAGATGGAGAGAGAGCCTCCCCTTCGAAGACTTGCCACTGTTCTGAGAGGCTCAATTTCTGATCAAGAATAACACCACATACACATTAAGAATCATACAGTGGACATCAATGGAAACCCTAAAGAAGTAAAAAATCAAACACTCACAAAACAAAAAACCACCACAAAGATAAAATTAGGGTTCAGAAATTAGGGTTCTCACCTTTCTCCTCATCGTGAACAGAGTCTTCCCTTCAAAATCCATGAGCACGAGCTCCTCCCTATTACCAGCAACATAATTATCAACCCTAAAGACCAGATTCCCCCTGGAATCGAACACAGTGAAACCACTACAACTGAGAAGCAGTGATTTCTTCCAAACCGTCAAAACCGTTGCAGAGCCATCTGAATCTTGACGAAACTCTCTCAAAAAGCCATTAGGGTGAACCTTTGTCATCGCCGGATAACCACTCTTATTCGCCGTAATTCCACTTGTAAACCGCCAAACCAGCTTCAGATCTTCAGGAAGCCCTACTCCCTTAGTTTCAGAGCGCGCGAAACCTAGGTTCTGGGCCGCCATGACATGAGTATTTAAGATCTCGGAGATCGTCAAAACCAAGGTCGTGAAAGCGACATGGGGAATCGTCCAAAACCCTAGCTTTTTAACCCTGACTATTTAAGATCTGACGTAGCGTTTCTTGGCCATGAAAGGGCTCTGGTTTTGGGGTTAAAATGAATAAAAAAAAGAAGGAAGTGTTTTTAATGGCGAAAATAGGGCCTTGCGGCCAAGAAAGAGACACGTGTACTGACGAGTGGAGACATTTGTAGAGACTAAAGGCTTCATGGGTCAGTAATTCAGGCTTGGACGCAACTATTGTTTATTTTTAGGAAAAATGTTCCATGAGTCAGGGGGTTCAAGAGCCCGCGGACTTGTCAACGTTCATCTTTAAGATGGACGTTGTGTAAAACGCATGGGTTAAATCAAATATGGATGGTGCAAAAACATCTAAAAAACCACACATTGTGGATAAGAGAATGTGATCTTTTGTACTAAAAAATAAACAGTCATATAATATTTTTATATTTATAATTGGTTTAGTTTAAATGATGAATTTATGAAAGATACGTGTACATATGAGTGAGACCCATCCTTATTTTTATTAATCTTCAAGTGAGCTTCTAATAATTATATTTTAATATTTATTAATTTTTAAGTTAGCCTTTACTAATTATATTTTAATAATTTAAAAAAATTATGGGTAATTCAAAAGGGAAGATGGCCCTACTCATTTTTTCAAATAGTTTAAGAATTAGTTTTTTTTTAAGGTATTGCCCCCCTACCCATTTTCTCAAATAGTTTAGGAAGGTATTAGAGATGTCGTGTCAAATAGTTTAGAAATTAGTTTTTTTGAAGGTGTTAGGGATTAGTGTTTTTGAAAGTGTAAGTGATGTATTAGTTTTTTGAAGGTATTAGCAATGTAGTGTCAAATAATTTAGAAATTAGTTTGTTGGAAGGTGTTAGGAATTAGTTTTTTTGAAAGTATTAGCAGTGTGGTGTTAGTGGAAATGGAAATCATTACATGGTGACTAAGGTATGCGGGTGCTACCACTTCGACCCCAAATCCTTTCCCTATTTATGGATTTTAATTATATAACTATATGAGACCCAAAAGATAAAGCGCCAATTTGTATAGAGCAGAGACTCTAAACAATCAAGGTAAAGCGTACCTTCAATGGTATTCAGAACTATGGTTTCAATACTGGAAATCTTTGTGATAGCCTTAAAAAATATTTTCATCTTTAATTATAAAATTTAAAGCATAAAAAATAGTGTAGATCAAGCATATCTATAAAAACTTGATAATCTTGAAAATTGATGGTCTAAAAATGTGTTACAAGATGCGCTATTTCCAAAAATTAAAATCCATTTTTTTTCTTATGTCCATGCATCTTGATATTGAGATGATCTATTTGAAGATATTTAGGCATCAAAACATCATTTCTAGTAAAAGTTTTGAGGTGAGCTCTAATTTGATTTTTTAGAGCCTTGGCTCTATATAAACTTTTTCCAAAGATAACACATGACCTATAATTTATTTTGGCAATCTTCTAACGTATAGATTAACCTCAATAAAAGCCTTTTTAATTGCATCCTCTACGTTTTTGAAAAAAAAAAAAGAAGTTTTGAGATTGAATATAGACTATCCAATTTTTAAATGGTGAGATTTAAGAATTAGAAAATTCAAAATTCAAATTTTTTTATTTTTTTCGAAAATGATATCCAGTAATTCTTAGATGGTTCCAAAAATTTCAGATTGAAAGGAACTTCCAAATAGGTCTACGAGTAGAAATAAACTATACTTATACGTGCTACTAGATTATTAGAGTAAACTTCGGGAGTCAATAGAATGAATTTGTTTGGGAAAAATATAACGTAATCTAATAAAGAGCTAGTGTGGCATGCTCCCGCAGGAGCACATTGTACACTTCCAAATTCTGAGAGGCCTGAAAGTATTCCTTGGTAGATTTTATACCAAAGGTAGTGAATGGAGGTAATGTTCCTGCTGGAATATAGAAATCTTTTGACCTAATTTAGTTTGGTACATGGTTCATATATATTCTCCATCAACATGGTGTTGACGTATTGATCGCTACATGGCATATTTCTATTCTTGATTAGAGAAAGCATATTTAATTCTAGTTGTTGTGTTGTATATTCCATTGTCATATTTAATCTCCATCATCATAAGTACCATACATGGAGGAGTAGTGCAGTATATCTTGGTATTATTTCCAACTTCTAAGCTATCTGTCTGTATCCATTAAAAATCGAAAATTTGAAACCACAAAATTATGTAGGTAACAAATGTGGGAGCACTGCAATTCGCCTAAGTCATGCCGGTAACCGACATTGCCTTTTAAGGAAGCAACACCTTCTGAATAGCTCTTTCACGACGGTGTAACAAACACTGGCGTGTAACAAACGCTGGAGTGCAGCTGTAATTCATCGAACTCATGGCCGCCACGAAACACACGCGCCCTAAGATGAAACTTGCATTTTTGTGTCCAACATGAGTGGGGCCTGTGTGACTTACATAAAGGTTTCATAGACCCCATGAATTGTACTACCAAACAGACCGCCCAACTTCAACCATATGCGGTCCAACATGATTGTAACTTGGGTGAATGCAATTCAGACCTAGAAATTTTTACATACGATGGATGAAAGCAAAGCTCTTTATTGGTTTTCTTGAATCACATCATAACTTCATTATACCTTCTCTTTTATTTTTAAGGAAAAAATTTATATAGAACCGAGCCTCTAAACAATCAAATTAGAACCCACCTCAAAAATTTCGTTAGAAAAGGTCATCTCAATATCAGGATGCATGGACATGAAAAAAAAAAAGGTTTCAAGTTTTAAAAATAGTGTCATGTAATTGTATTTTTGCCTATCAATTTTCAAGATTTTCAATTTTTATAGATCTATACTATTTTTGAAGCCTTAAATTTTATAATTAAAGATGAAAGTATATTTTAAGGCTATCACAAAGATTTTAAGTATTGAAACCATATTTTTCAATATTATTTGAAGGTGCACTTTACTTTGATTGTTTCGAGCCTCGGCCCCATACAAACCGCGCCATTTTTTTATGACAAATTGAAACTTCATTGTACCACTTATCTAATTTTTGTACTTTTATATTTGTTTTCGTTGGTTTCTTACTTTTCTTTGTACCTTCCTCTCCCCTGGGTCCCCTTATTCATTACGTTTAAGATCGGTAAATCTTTCTCTTAGAACAAGCTTGGTAGCCCCTCCAAAAAAATTTAAATTTTTGTCTCTTTTTTTTTTTTTAAAAAAAAAGACCATGAACTTGGATGAATCAAAATTACATGGAAAAAAAAGAAGAGGAGGTTTTTTGTTTTTTTTTTGCTTTAGTCGTGACCGCGTAGTTGTTATTTATCAGGGATTGTATACTATAAGATCATCTATTTTTGTTAAATGGTGGTCATAATTGCTGTCGCATGATTAGAAGTTAAATTGGATGGCTTGAAGTATTTCATAAAGTCGAGTTTTTCTTTTTTGAACTTTGAATTCACAACCACCCAATTTAAAACTTAATGGACAAGAATAATTCAGGCCTCTTTTTATTAACTCTTTTGTATATTTTTCTTATTTATTATGGGCATCGCTCCAAAATCAATGGCAACCTTGTCTTTAAAATGGTTTACTATGTCAAGAAGATGAGCTCATTAAACGATGAATCTGCCAAAATTGCAGTGGTCCACTTTTGCTTCAATATTATAAATCAAGTTTAAACCACTGAAATCTTACGTAATTTGGAAGCTACAAGTGCGCGTTGAAATAATCTCCATAGCATGATGATGTGCATGTGTTGTCTATCAGTGATTAATAGGCATTCATCTTCCACCACGTGCGTTGAATGGTTTTATTTTATTTATTTATTTATTTTTGGGTGGGCAAACTTTCTATGTTCCCCTACAACATAGAAGTTCTATCCTCCTCTTTATCCAACCGTCCATTCTGAATGGAGAGCTAAGATTGCCCCAATCACAATGTCACGTCTCTACAATATTTTATTTTTAAATTTTTTATAAACTATTTTAATACCAATTTTTTGACGTCAATTCCTCTGTTAAACACACACTAATGAAAAATATATAAAAAAATATTTCCAATAAAATAAAATAACCAAAATACCCTTGAAAATTTCAAGGGATATTGTGGTTATTATATTTTATCGAAAAATTATTTTTAATATTTTTTATAGGTGCGCCCTAATGAGAAGATGACACGTACCAAATTTCATAATCATATTGTTTGTATAAAAAATACTAAAAAAAATACTTTGAGACGTCAGACCTAATATCAAACGGTGAGTGGCTCTCTTGATCAAAATTGGACGGCTGAATAGTAGGGAGAGGATAAAACTTCTATGCTATAGGGGCAGCATAGAGACTTTTCCCTTTTTGGGTAATTCATTTTTGAATGGTTTTACTTCAACACTCACTAATGTATTTACGGCTGATTAGAGATTTAACCAGTTAGACTTAATCTAAGACAATAATCTCCAATCAAATATTTGGAGTAAGCTTGCCATAAACGCGTCATTAAGGAATAATTGGGAGTCCTCTTGGAAATATGGGGCCAGTTGGGATTAGTGGTGTGGTGAGGGATTCAAGTGGCGAGATTTTACTTTCCTTTGCCGGTCGGTGTATTTTTTGTACGGCAAGGAAAGGGGATGGGGTCGTGGTGGTAGCATCCTCACACCTAGTTACTACATCGTGCTATCTATTCCTACCACTGACACCCCTAATTAATATATTCAAAATGTAACTCCCCAATCTATTGAAAAAATGGGTAGGGACCTGTCTTCCCCATTGTCGACCTTTGTGCTATTTTGCAAAGATTGAAATAGCTCAAGGAAAGAAATTTGTGAGGATATTTTGTAGTGAAGGGCGATTCTCTAAATGTGATCAATTGGTATAATACAAAGAGTATACTGCCTTAAACATTGTTGTAGGTTTTGAGTTGACTCTTGGAGATACAAATCTTGTGGCGGATGCTTTGGCTAAAAAATGGGTTATTTTGAGTGACCTTGAAATTTCTAATGATCTGCTACTTTGAATCTTTTGTATTAACCATGTGATTAATATAATTGATACCTTGTATAAACTTTTTTCTCTTACCTTATATCCCAAAAAAAA